GTGTCTGTGTGTGTGTGTGTGCTTGCATGTGTGTTTCCCTGAAGTCATGCCTGACATGGAGCAGACCTCATCTGCACTGCTTTCAGGATAATGAGCCCGCCCGCCCGTTCTTCGCGACCCGACTTTGGAACCCAAACAGAAAGAAAGAGCGTCGAACTGCGACGAGGCTGAGCTGCTGATTCAACCTTGTCGGGGGTGGAACTCTCGGACAAAGTACTTGGCAAGGAGGATCATTCTCAAGCAAACAGCGCGGTGTCCGAGTGACGGCGCTTCCGATTCCAATCCTTGGGCCAATCTCCAGTCTCCCGGGTGAATGTGCGCAGCATTTGCCGTTTGCGTCGCCTCGTGGCATGTCCGTTTCTTGATGGGGAGAGCTGCCCTGCCAATCTGCAGAAGCTGCTTTGATTAGCACTTGCTGGCAAACGCGTTTCTGCCTCGCAGCAAGATTTCAGTTCAGGGTCTTCGCCCACATGCGATTGTGGTGAAGATAAGAGGATCGACTTGCCTGCCGAGATCTCCTGCGTTCGGTTCTTGCACGAATCCCTGCGCCTCGTCCTTGGCACTTGACCATCCCATGGATTTGCGGTTTGGGGCTGGCGCCGGCGCAGGGACCAACATACTCACCTTTGGTAGGAGTTCATCTTCCGATGGGTAGTTGAGGCGTGTGGCATTGACATTTGTGGCAGGGGTCGTAACTGCTGTGAACGAGTTCGTGCTGAAGCATGACGCGCTGCTTTGGCTCCTTGACTGGATTGGATTCGGAAGGAGGACAGCGCCGGCTCTCTGTGCACTTCTTTTTTATTGGTGGAGGTAGATTGAGGCTTCTATGCACACCGACAGCTTCTGCGCACGATCGTTTTGCTGTGTTTGACCGCCGTCTCACGACTCTATAACAGGTTGACCAGAGACAGCTGGTGGCTCCATCGCACTGAGCATTCCTGGAAAAGATCGTGCACTCCGAGCTTGCAGTGTAGCGTGTGACCCCTGCGTGCCAGAGGAAGACAGTGGCAATCTCAAAACGGCTTGGATAGTAGTCGCCTGGTGAGGCCAACGCACAGCTCCCAAAACCAACTTCTAGCAACAGTGTAACGTAAGCCCAGACCTAGCTGAACAAAAATCATTGCTTGGCTTGGGTGTAGAGCCGGTAACTTCTCTTGCCCGAAGAATTCTGGAGACGCTTTATTTCGGGAATTTTCGGGAATCAATGGAGTTTGATGGTTCGCTTGGAGGTTCGATCTGTTTTGATTTTACGGAGAGGGGGGCGGGCTTTCAGGCTTTGAAGCACAGGCGTTTCAAGGTCCAAGTCAGCACTTGGCATAAGCACGAGCTTGCGTGGATCCGCAGATTTTGATCAGCTCAACTTGTTGGGTTCACTTTTTTTTTCAGCTGTGGCCGGCTGCTTGCGCTCGACATGTCGAAGCCGCGGCAGCCAAATGACGCCATGGCGGCCCCCATCGCCCCCATCGTTCTCGATGAGGACGCAGATCCGACAATAAGCCTGCATTGCAACCTCCTGAACGGCCACTCCCGACCAGGACACGTGGACCTGCGACAATCCCAACATCGTGATGGTCAAGATGCCCGAAATGTCCCACATTCCGGAGGGAGAGCGTCCGGTTGTCATGCTGAGACTGCCTGATGGCACCATGGCAGACATACAGACGATGAACCTTAGCTACACCAGGTTGTGCTAGCTGTGAACCCTGGCAATTGCCAAGAGCCCTCTTGACTCAGGAACCTTCCGAGCAATGTCAAAAGGCTGCTCAGCGACATCGACATGGACCGAGACTCGCCCAGGAGATCTTTACAGGCTTTAGGGAGGGCGGTTAGCAGTGTAGCGTGAAGAGGTTAGGGCTTAGGGCTTCAGGGTGTGAACATTTTAGGGTTTAAGAGTTTAAGGTTCCGTCACTACGAAGTCTCAGAGTACTACGAGTATCCAGCAGGATGTAGAGTTGATTGTCTGTGAGCCCTTTGTGTGGTCTGTGATCCCTGTGTGTGTGTGGGTGTCCGAAGTCCACACTAGCGAGGAAACGGAGTCGTGGACGACCCGAATGTGGATCACGTGGCTCCCCGGCTGTCGCTGCACCTTGAGGCTCAGGATATGCAGCGCAAGCTTAGGACCGACTTTAAGCCTTGAAGTTGCATCCAAGAAATGCATTCCAAATCTTCGTAAGTCAAATTTTTCTTTGTGTTTCGCTCCCCTACTTGGCTGCCCATCGACCCTTCAAGATTCCTTCCGGTGCTTGGGGCCTGCGGCTCACTTAGGGCTCGCACGAATCTGTAAAATCTTTGCCTGGACCGTGTGGTCCAAGAGCAGCTAGGTTAAGATGCTGGAGATGATGCGCGAGGAATTCGGCTGTGAGAAGGGCCACGTGGCACAAGAAGAGATGGACAAAGCGCTGATACTGCTCCTTGTTTGCGCTTGCAGTTGCAAGATGTTGCACGGTCCTTCTCATGGGTTAAATCTGTCACCCCGTGACATCCTGATGGTCTTGCAAAGAGCGGATGCCAGAGATGCAATGGCTCCTTTCTGTTCCAAGTAGCAGATTGGGGTAGGATCTATGTGAATCTGGATTCTTCGGAAGACCACCAAGTCAGCGATCTCCTGGATCGCAGCCGCGAGACATGCTTCAGGTGCAGGTCAACTGCCAGCCAAGGATGTCGAATCTCTTGCGCCAGAAGCGCGAGAACTCGGCAGATATGAGCCGCTCAGCATCTCTGGCGTCAGATCTCCTGCAATCCCTCAAAGCTCACGACGACATCTCAAAGCTAACAAAGGGCTTCAAACCTGCATGATGCGCCTCCTCGGAGCAGGCTTCCGCATTAGCAGTGTCAACCTCTTAAGCCCCGCAAGTCTCCATGAGCAGCCAGTTAGTACCCTTGGGCATAGGGGAATCTCGCTTTCGAGATCCGGGTTCGGGCGGTTGCATAGGTCCTGCATCTTGCTTCGCATGCTTCGCTTCGTGTGCACCGAAGAACCGTCTGCTTTTTTGTTGCGGCCGCAGCACAGCCCAAGGCTATCGCCATCTGAGCCCCTGCATTCAGGCTTGGACAGTAACAAGCATTGTTTGGTCACCTAAAGTTACTTCGCGGCAGGCAATTAAGCCCGAGACAACCCGAGCACTCGTGGCAATGCAGGACGTGATGAAGGAGTGGGATATCGACGGTGACGGCACGGTGGCTCTTCATGAGCTCACGGAGGTTCCCGTTCCCGAGTTTGCTCGAAGTGCGTTGGATTACGGAGCTTTCTGAGTGCCCCAAGCTCGACAAAGTCGGGTTCAGAAGAAGCACGCATAGGGCATAGGGTTCAGCTGAGCTTGCGAAGGCCGCCCATGCCTACAAGAAGGTCAAGAAGGAAGGCTGGGATCCACGCTTGGCTCTTAGGTTCGGAGATGCACAGGGTAAGGCGCAGGTTGAGGCTTTGGTTGGTCTCTTCTAGATCTCAAGAGTCTAGAAGAACGAACTACTCTTTGCAAAGCTTCGTGGTTCTGTGGTTTCGAAGAGATTGTTGTTGTAAAACTGGGGCACAGGGTCCCGAGTTGGCCTGTGTTGCAGTGGTGGCATCCGTCCTCCTCGAGACATCCCTCTTCCGAACATGTCCAGGCCGTCGGATGAAGAAGATGATCATCGGCCTCTGCTGCGTCATCGGTGTGCTGCTGACGGGGTTTCTTGGGTCAAGAGGACTGGGTAGGCCCCCAAACCCTGCACCTCTACGCAAGAAATCTTGTTGCGGGGCATCAAAGCCTGGAGGCGGTTTCTGGGTGGCGAGGCTTGTTGTCGCAGGAGGGACGGGTTGAAAAGGCTTTCTGCTTTACTTCGACACCTTGTTTCCAGCTTGTGGACCTCAAGAGCCTTGCTGGTATAAACGGAGTATGTCTTTGCGGGGACGGCAGTATCCAGAGTGAAAGCTTCCGGCAGTCTGACACTCTTGACAGTTCCCCTTGCTAGATTCGAAGCCCTTGCGGCCAGGCTTCTGTTGGATTGAGGTAAAGTGAATCTGCTGTTAATCCCAAACAGTTTGTGGTCAAAAGCCCCAAAGGATGTTCGTACTCTCCTATGTGGCAGCAGACATGGCGAAGGAGAAACTGCTGCAGCCGCAGCAGTTGTTTCAGACTCGCAGAGTTCCTTTCGAGACCTCAGAGATTGTAAGTAAGACATGTGTCTAGCTGCTTAATGGCTCAGCTGCAGCAGGTTTGGTCTAGACTCTCCAGTAGAGATTGCTGTCTTCACAGCGCGCTACCCTTCATGCAGGAGATGCGCAGCAGTGGCGACGGAGTGATGCGCGCACAGGGCGAGGTGGTGAAGGCGTCTCTAGCAAAACCATTCTCCTCCTCAGCCGCACGCACTGCAACCCGTTGACTTGCTTGTGGCTCTCAGAATGATGAACTGTCGGATTTGGTTGTGGGCTTGATTGTCGGGAAGCCCGACAGGGCCTGGAAAGCAAGAAGCCTTAGATGTCAGTGAGTCGACAAGTGCTCCTGAAGCCAGGCCCTGTCAGTATGATTTGGTAGTCGCCCCTCGTCGGCATAGTGTAGCTGCCAGACAAAACAAATTACTACAAGCCAGAAACAGCTGTCGACCATGCGGACTGTGTGTGGAAACGAAGGTTGGCACACATAGTTTTCGAGAATCTGCAGAAGATGAGTCGAAGAGGAGAAACCTGCACACTTTAGGAATTCCTTCACAACATCGGATGAAATGAGGCCGAGCGACACCCCAAGGAAACCCGTCCTGAAACTCGGAAATCATTCTCCAAGATGTACGTCATTCGACCATCGTTCACCAGGACGTCGAATGCCAAAAAACATCTATATGTTTTTGCTGCTGAGAGGTCAGAAGCGCAGTTAACTAGTCCTTCGACAGTCCTTTCAGCTGCAACTCCTTGCTTCACCGTAAACGTAATTGTCCTCCCACGTTGAGTCGGCGACGGCCGACACGGTGGTGCCTGTGTTGGAACGCTGGTAAGTGACTGCGCCCACAACCGCAACGTGAGGGGTTTGCTACCACGGCTGTATGAGCACCACGCCAGAATCAAAGGGTGTCCTCAACGTGAGCCGGTGCAGGTTGCGAGCTCCGACTTCACTTTGGTGGATGGCCAGCTTGTAGCTCGTGGGGAACCCGCTGCGGCCGAGTGCGGCACTCCGTGCAAAGAAAGCCCCGGTTTTGCGCGATGACCTGTTATTGAGACATACTGAAGCAGACGTGAAGAATCAGATGTCAATTGGGGTACTGGGTAGCTGTTTCCTAGGCACAAGATTTGATCTTGAAAGGGTGTGGTGTTCAGAAGCTGACGGAGCATGGAACGAGGGTCGTTCTGATCTACACAGGTAGGTTGTCTGCCGCCGTCAACCGTGCACCGCTAGCTGTCTGAGATGGATCTATCCAAGAACATGCGTGGTGTCATTGCCCACACCCTCTGCAAGGCACAAAGCTCATACTGCCCTGAGGTACCAATACCACCTGCCGTCGTCTGCAACGCCGCGGAGGTTTTCAGGCCAGCATCCTGGGACGAAGACTGGGCTTGGCTTTGCAGGCTTTCCAACAACCAGGCACCGGTTGAGGCCTTGAATCCGCAAGCGTCCGTATTGTAAGTATCCGTCGCGTCTCGAAACCTGGCCACGAACGAAAGCATGTTTCATCTGATGCCACGCAGAAACCACTGCAAACGGCTCCGGCGACGAAGAGGGTGGAAGGACTCCTTGGAAGCACTACGCATTGATGCATGGTGGGTTTAAGTGGATATTGACAACAGCCCCGAAGGTGTCCAGACAGGGTCGGAAAAATGCCAAAGACCAGCTTGACCCCGTCAAGTCCTCTGCACTGGTTTAGGCCTCCAAGGGCAGAGGATCAACACCCTCACGAAACTCCAACCTGGTTTCTGTGAAACTGGACACCGAGGAATCTGCTCCCAGTCGAAACGGTCGAACTTCGACAGGCCGTCACGTGGGGCTGTTTCAGAAGGAATGAAGCAATGTGAGGCGTCCATGCACCAAGTGCTGCGAGTTTCTCTGCACTGAAGAGGCTTTGGTGCGGTGTCAGAGTGGGGAACTGTTGTTCGCAGCGGAGGCTCAAGGCCTTGGACTTTCGCTGCGTGCAGCCTCTGCATCTGCCGGTCGACAAGGCACTTTTTTTCGAAGAGACAACGAGGGCCTCCCAGAAGAGGTTCCAGAAGTTTCAGAGACTTGGTCCTTCGGGGAGGGCGAGGCGTTGGTGGAAGGGCTTGTCTCGAGAATTCTTTTGTAAACCTTAAACCCTAAACGGTCCTGAACCCTAAACCCTAAGATACCCTCAGTGAAGTAGGCCCACAGCAATCAACAAGAGTCCACCGCAGGTCATGTCCGCCGAGATGCGGGAGTGCAATTGCGGACTTGTCATGAACATCCACACGAAGGCCCGGACGCCCAAGCCCTTGACAATCCTTCAGAAACAAGCCAAGTCCTCCGTCCAACTGTGCCTGAGCGCAGAATCTACTTTACAATGCCAGCACATCTATCATTCCAGAGACCACAGACAGAGGCTAAGCCGAACCACCTGACCCGAACGGCCTTCCATTCAACCCTTCATGAGGAGTCCGACATATGACGCCAATCGTTGAAACCCCAAGCCGGTCGACGCAAGGAGGGCATCGTGACCCTCGACGGATGCGACGTGTATGTGGATGACCCGATGTTCGAATTCTTGGAGCAGGCAGGCTCCTCGCTGGCAGCTTGAATTGCATCGCAAGTAGCCTCTCGACACTCCGTCACGCGGCATCGGGACCGTGCGTGTGGATGTGACCCTAACACCTCTGGACGGCTCCCCGCGGCTGGGAAGACATTGACACACCATCGCTTGCGAAAACTCCTTCCCGAAGCCTCATGCAAAGCAGAATGCAGCGCTGCCAGGCTCAATGTGCAAGGCTGACGAAGAAAGTGAGAAAAAGGGGCGGCCAACCTCCTCCAGGCTGGTTCTGGGTGTTTGCAGGGGTCAAGGCCTCAGCAGCTCCGATTCAATCACCAAGTGTTCAATTTCTTGGGATGAAAAAAACCTTGTGCAAAGGATTCCAAAGCACACCTCCTTAAGACCTATAGTACCTAAGCTGCGAATAGACAAGCTGGAGAGCCCTCGACACTTCGACTAACGCGGCTGATTTCACCACCTGGAACCCCTGTTTCCTTGAAGCTCTCATCTCAGGGCGCCCATAGAGCGAACCCCGAACCGTGAGCCCTTGAAGCTCTCACAATACTTGGGCCCTTCTCCGTCTTCTTCTGTTCTGTTCCTTCTCTTATCAAACATCTTTATGATTCTTAACTAGTATCTTCTCTGCTACCCCGTTACTGTTTTTGACATTACTAGATGAAAACTGGAGCCCCGACGAGGTCGCCAGGGCCGGGGCGGCCGCCGGGGTGGCCGGCAGCTGCTAGGAGCAACAGACATCCTGGATGGCACTTTTGAGTGGTTCGAGGACCTGGGTTTGAGGCTCCAGGGCTTGAGGCTCTGAGTCTAGAGTGTTGGGCTTGGGATGTGGGGTCCAGCCTTCAGTGATCCGTATTCCCTTTGGGCCTCGAGAAGCTCAGGGGTCCTCCCACTTAACCGGGGTGATTTAGGTCATCTTGCAACGAACTTCCTTGGTCTGACAGCTTCCTCACTGGCGAAGTGAACAAGTTTCTGGAGGTGGAGGGAGCCCTGCACTATATCAGAGACTCCGAATCCACCCCACTTCGAAGGACTTACCCCAAGCAAGAGCCTCTTTGGATAGAGCAGGAAGGCGAGGAGCCCTGCGAGAGCAACCCTCTCCCCGATCCGCAGAGCATCCCACAGAATCTTGGGCTGAGATTTTTGGGGTCCGCGAGGCTGGTGACTGAAGGGCTCTGCTTTGGTCACTTGGTTTGGTGGCGTCATGGTTTGTGGGGACCGAGGAGGTTTGGCCGAAGGCTGGAAGATGTTGGCAGCCCTTGAAGACAGGAAAGAACCATGATTTGCAGGCTTCAGCTTGGTGAGAGCCGAATGCGTGTCTTGAGCCAGACCGTACCGTGCCCTCTAAAATGCAGCCGCACCCCTTCTGCAAAGGTATTATCGCGCGGAGGTTCGCATCACTGAGCTGCACCCGGAGCCCATGAAGTCCTTGAAGCGTTGTTTCGGATTTGTGAGCTGGGCTTCATCGTCGGTGAGCTTCGTCTACGTCGGCCCCCAAAGCCATCAACAACACCATACCAAATGCAGCCGAACTGATTTTGAAACCCCGAACCCTAGATTCTAAGACGTTTCGTGCAGGACCCGCAGGTCGAGGCCTTCTCCCAGTACTTCAGCGACGCCAACGGCTCCGCCCTGACCGCAATAGGGGAAGATGCGTCACGGGCATTGGACGAGCTGGAAAGATTCGACGTGTGCTTTATGGCTTTTAAGTGGAGACGAAAGGCTGTTGGGGCTGGTTTGTGCGAGTTTCGAAGTTCTGAGTCTCGGAACCCTTGGCCCTAGTCATCGAGACGGTGGCAAGTCCAGAGGGGTGGTTGCCAGGACCCTGCCGGGTATTGTTTCCTACGACGGAAAGGTCTACAAGACCTGGACCGACTCTTGACTGGAACCCATCCGGAGAAGACTTGAGAGAATTGACCTTCAAGGCCTCCTAGGTTTTGAGAAGCTTTCGAGCCCAATCCAGTACAGTGGAGGTTGAAGCCCTGAATCAGGTCGGGCCTCAAGCAGCCGTTGATGTGATCGGCATTTCTGATTCTGGAAAAGCGTCTGGGAGCAGGGAGCCAACATTTAGAAGGTGCAGGGTGCGCCCCGATCCTTCATCAACCAACAAGCCTGTTAGGGGCAGTATACAGAAGGACTCACGATGGTTGGTCAAGCAGCTGTCCGATGCTTTCAGAAAATTAGTTTCCGCAACACTGTACTTTCAACACAAACGAGAACATCTTGTTAGGATGAGAGCTTGCAGGGCCCAGGTTTGTCAAATTCATGAGCCGCCCACCTTGAATCACAGCCTTCTGCGGGCAAGACCACGGGCACTGTCCCAACAACTTCAAAGTAGCCCAAGATGGTTCTACGGCCGGCCGCCGTTTACTGTGCCAAGGTTTGGGGCAGAGGTTGTGTCAATCACTCACTCGAGAATGAGACTCTCCAATACGTTCCACAGGTTTTTAAATCAAACGCCCAAAAATTCGGCTGCACCCACAGGTTGCGAATACTGCGCGGATAGGGTCCACAAGCATGCATGTAACTTGTTGGAGCGATTGTCATGAAGTGCATGCATACCTCACCGCAAGCTCAACATCCGGAATAAGCATGGGGTGAACGGGGCTGGCTGTGCTTAGGAGGAGGTTGTGAGGGCCGCGGACTCCGAAGTCCATGTGAAGCGCTATGCCATGCATCCTCTGCAGGCGGCGGAAGAGCTTCCTTCAGAAAGGTCATTCATTTTTTGATGCTGATAAGTTGCCCTCAGCCGCACAGGCACGAGATAACCCTGTATGGAATGTATGGAATTCTGCATTTGCTTCCACCTGAGCTGATGCACATCCACCAAAGCCGTAAACCCACAAATCCTTGCGGCCCACTAGACGTGAAAGGATTTTCGGGCTTATAGGTCAGTGTTGGATAGAGAGAGCACGCTCTTTCGAAGTTTGGAGAGCCGACTACATGAGGCCTTCAGCATCTCTGGAGTCAGCGTTGCACCGAAACATACGCTCGAAATTGGCCATCAAGCCGTGCAGACAGAAACCACAGCGGCAAAAGCGCATGCAAACAGACGCCTGAATCCCTGCCTCAGAACAGGCCGAGCTGCACTTGATGAAGGCTCGGAGGTTTCCGATACTAGACCGAAGCCGCGTAAGAGATTCGGGGCCTGCGGTTTAGGAAGTTTGGAGTCAAGCCCGATGCATCTCTGTGAAAGTTCGGGTTTAATATCTCGAGTTTCTTCAAGGCCGGTGATGAGATGTCTCGGATGAAGATGTTCCTGGTGGCCCGCGGCCCAACAATGCACAAACAAGGACTGACCTGAAGCCCTACAGAAGCTGCGAAGCTCCCCCTCTTTGATCCGTATGTGCGGACCACAGCAGCGCTTTGAGCTTCACACCTTTTGACTTAAGACTTGGAGTTTAGGTCTCCAGCGTGTGCGATCGTTGAAAAACGAACATAGCTGCGACTGAGACCAGTACTACTTGTACAGAGGGCACCAGAATTTCCCGCTAATACCTTGGAGCCTTCGAGAGATTAAGGCTTCGGCTGATGTTTTTTGCCCATCCCATATGCAGCAAGTTCCTGAAGAGATTTACTGGCATGAAAACCCCTATGCAGCCCTTCCAAAAACCGATAAAAGCCATTCAAGCGATCTGAGAACCCCAAGCCGAGATGATTGGCCCGAAGCCACTTTCTGCTTTGCCGTCAGGCTGGCGTCTTGGCGCAAATGGATCTTCTTGGATCCCGAGGTGACTGATTTGTCCAGAACTTTCACGGAGCTCGCAAGCTACACAGCGACAGCAATGTACCAAGTTGAGTGGGCGAGTCAACCTTTTCGGTTCTAGTGGCGCAGTTCCACTTCTCATGATGTACCTCCCTCTCTCTGTTTTCCTGGGTCTCTCTGCGTTCTCCTATCAGAGACCATGCATTTGACCTGCTCTAGCTGTCCCAGCTATTCGATTCTTTCGTGGCAGTCCCCCACCCTTAACCCCAAAAACCCGAAGCCGCAAAACCCTGAACTTGCAAGCTCCAAAATGCTAATCCTTTGCTTTTTGAAGGCTTCCGCTGCCAGATTGGCGACGGCGACCTCGGCGCAGAGAGCTTTAACTTCTCATGGCAGCCGAGTATGGAATACCAGGCCCTCTGAGGGCTTGGAGTCTCAGTGGAAACTTCTTGAACGACTTGGGTTGCGGGCCTGTCCTTGCCTTAGACTTCTCGCTGCTCCGCGGAGCAGCTTTGCCATAGCCTCCCCACATAATGTGAACAGGGCACCGTCGCAGAGCCGGACGGCCGCATTCTACGCCATTGGAGGAGGGCTGAGGGTTTCAGAGGTTGTTGCTCGCCCGATGTCCACGCCAATTCCAAATAAAATCCCCTGATAAAAGCTGATCAACATTGCAACAGTTCCTGAGCATGCAGGACAACAGAAGGCGCAGGTCTCGGGATGGCTTCGCCCATGTGGCCACAACACTAGAGGCCTCCAAAATGTATCGTCCAAAACTCAATGGACAAAACCAGCATTGACAAACGTTGTCAAGAGAACAGCAGCGACATGCAATAAGAAAAAGACAAGCCTGTGATTTGGCCAGCGGAAACATTCTGGTATTCAGGGTCTCTGGGGGTAAGACCTACGATTCGATGCTGGCAACTTCCGGACCCGAACCCCAATCCAATCCTGGAGGAATCCTGTCTGGCTGGATGAATCCCGTGGTAGCATCGCGACACATCTCCATTCAAGATCACAAGAACTTCAAGTGATTTCCTAGAAGCAGAAGTAGTTTCTTTGCAAGAGGACGGAAGTCCTGAAGGGACTGGACCTCTCGACGCTGACCGAGGCTCCCGACCTTGGAACGCGAGACTTCACGTGATGTGAGCAAAAGCATGTTTTTTTTTGGGCCTTGCAGCTGAGCAATTTCGGTTCATGTTCCGTGATGAGAACTGCTGAATGATGCCCCCTGCATGAGACAAAACGCCCGCAGGACGAGAATTTCAGCGTTGCCGTCCTGGAGGCCCTGACCTGCTCTGCAAGTTGCAACACCCGAAAAGCCCCCGTTCGACTTTTCAGATCCAGGTGCCACATTGAACTCCTGGCCGAAAGTGTGTGTCTCTGTGTGTGTGAGCATTTGCATATGTGTATTGCGGATGTATATGCGCTCTTGGGGATGTAAGTTGGCAGTGGTTGACAAGACATCGGAGTTTGTGAATGAGAGGAAGCAATGCGAGGGCAGTCGACGTGGCCAGGTGACCAGGAAAATAGGTAAAGGACACAGGTTTACGTACGGACCAGCAAAACTGTCCACCAAGGTGTAAGCTGGTTCATGCTGAACCCAGCCTGGACCAGCAAGCAGTATGAGAAACAGCAAACGAAGTCGCATGAGCTTTGAAGCCTATGCTCACGGAGCGGCCACGCTCAGATGAACAGTGCAGCTGACCTTTGCTTGGAAAACGATGACGTGATGTGGTAACGTTGTTGCTTTGTCAGGTTGACGGTGTATTGTGCATAGAAC